CAGGGTCCCAGGTGTTAAACCTCTGGCTGGACAGGTTAATGGGGAATACTCCCACCCTTTCTAGGGGAGGCTGCCTCCACTTCGCAGGCCTTCTAAGAATTGAAGATGCCAGGACTTGTCCAACTGCTGAAAGTCAGTTAAGAGTTTTTCTACCCAAGAGAGTGGGAATATTAGATTCTACTCGTACAGGCAGGTATGAGGGAGGAAACCACCAGTGCCCAGTAGATAAGGCCAGAGTCCATCAGAATTGCTCATGTGGAGTTACATAAACCCATCTAAACATTGCTTGATCACCACTGACTTTGGGAAGGCTTCACATCCAGACAATTGTATTGTTTCATTGTACAAGCTGAAGCCAGCAGGTGAGAGTCATATGCCAAACCTAGGCTCTGGTGACCCAAGAGAAGAGCTAGAGAAATGCGGGGATGCTCATATTCCCCCCAGGTACCCAATATCTCCTTTTACAAGTATGAACATTTTCTCTCACAGAAGACATAGGCAATACAGTCTCCATCCTCAGTCCCTCAAGAGAAGTCTCTTTAAGGGTGCATACTTGACACCCTTACTTGACATACTGTGCATACTTGACAGCTGGCAGAAATTTTTTCTGCATTCCTCATGTAAAGGGCTCATACATAATTGGATTTATGAAACCAAAGTCTACCTTTGTAATGCAAATGACTGGTCTCCAAGAACTCTTATCTGAACCATCTTTTGGAAGGCAGGTTTCTGAAAGGAGCTATCTGAGCAAATCAGTTGAACTACGTTCACCTGGAACTTTTTAAATCAGTGAGTTTTGCTTAATAATAACTGTCTTATGAAAGTATGTCTCTCAAAAGTTTGCTAATAGAGAAGCCTATGTTTGTGAAAGTTATGAAGGGTGTTTGTCAATCTATGAAATACTAACTACTTACCTTTTAGTTGTCCAATGCAGCATTGGAGTTTGGTCCTTTTCACTCAGTTAAAAGGACAAGGGTTTTCCTTTCACTTTATATTTTTCTTCCTACTTGATCCCCCCAGAAACTGTCAATTCTTAATAAGTGAGTTGTGGCAATATTATTCTTTGCATGAATTCAATAAGAACAACTTCCAATTTGTGGTTTTATTAACCACGACTTTGGAATGTCCAGCCTGAAAGAGACACGCCTGGACTCTGGATATCACCAGAAAGCCACAAGGAATTGAGATTTACTTTCAAAGCTAATGAAAGTCCACTGTAGAAATGACGTGATATCTTGTATGGCCATGTGGTTCATGGCAGTCTTTCAAGGTAAGGAATGAAGGTTGCTTTCCTGACAGATGGCAAAAAAGGAACCTCAAGACATTTTTTTGTCTTTCTTACATGGTATGGGCCTCACTTTAGAAGCCCATCTGCATTATGGTCTGAAATAAGACTCAATTGTTTGGCTGTACTGACATTTTTTTTAGGACTGGGTGGTTGAGTTGGTGAAGTATGGGACAGTCTATTGGCTTCGCTTGAACTACTTTCCCTTTTGTGCTCAAATGGTTCAGACAGAAAAGGCCCAGTTTTCCAGGAGAGATACCTTAGACTGTCCCCCACAGTGTAATTTTAGTTAAGTGTGGTGAACAAGGGGCTTTAGACAGTTGTGACACGGCTTCCTTCAGGCATCCATTGCTCTGACTTAATCCAGGGCACTGTAGCATGAGCCCTTACCTCTCTCTATCACATCCTGTTTGTTGTCTCTCATCAGAATTTAGTTGCTATAATTTGTTTAATTTTTGGAGTATGCCTTTTGAACCTTCTTGTCAAACTTGTCATGCCCAGAACACAACAAGGATGCTAACTTGTTCAGCAGTGCCATGTTCTACGCATTGCCATCATATAGACAGACGTAGCATAGGTTGTCTCCCACTGACAGCCGACTGGCCCGGACTTTGCAAAAATCCCTCTTTCCTGCTTGAAGATTTTCCTTCCCTTTTTGCTTCTTTGTTCCTTCAACAGCTAGAAAGACCCTGTGAGCCTGGGGATAGGCAGGACTATGCCTTTTTGACAGCAAAAAGCTGTTATAGAAGGTGACATGTTCTTTCATTTACCACTGTGAGATCACAAGGTCTTCAGAGGGTAATGTTACTGTTGGCAGTCAACTATTTATTAATAAAGGAAAGGGAGCAGAAGGAATCAAACATTGAGCTTAATAAATTGGGAATCCTGAGTTTGTTTGCTTCACCAGAAAACTACAGCTTCACACCTCAGGGGATCACAGCGTTGCTCTATGAAGCAGATTAACACTTGTCCTTTCCCTCATTTGGTACTGGATTGTTGGGGGGCCCAGGGGAAGGTGCTTGGCCAATGGGGCCTGTTGGTCTAACTAGGGGGCGGATGTATGAAAGGGCCATGAAAGCATGGGGAGCTGATTGATTCTTTTGAAAAAGCACCTTGTCCATCCCAAACTCAAGCTAATATAAACCCAGGGGAACAAAGAAGCTATCTTTCTTTCTAGCTCATGACTTGCACTTGTCCCATGCGCATGTGTCCTCTCTCCATAACCATGTGACCTTAGCAGCCACATCCCAAAGGTCATGTGGAGTCCATATGCAGGCTCCAGGCGGGAACCTGAATACCTCAGCAGGTATTTAATATCTGTTGTTAAAGGTCACAGCTGGGAACACAAGCTAAACTGGCTGGGCGATGGACTGAACTGGGCTCTAGTATGGTACTGGATCTCTGGATGTTGACTCTCTTTCTGGCCCTGATTTTCAATGGTGGGATAAGCAAAGAGGTGACCCAGGGGAATGTGACGGCATTCCACATGAGTGAACAATTTTGCCACACCCCAATCTTCATGTATGGGTTCTTGGATTGCATACCTCATGATTCCAGGGAAGGACCTGATTTATACCTCCCCCAGTGGCCAGCTGAAAGGGAAGAATTTTAAAAGCCTAGAGTAGCCATGTAAGAGAGAGACATTGTATTCCCAAATGACTGCAAGGAAGAAAGTCCCTTCCTACCTTATTGGACTTCATATGAACAGAAATAAAATTCTGTTTTTGTTAGGTCTCTGAAAGTGTAAGGCTTATGTCTTTATAGTAACAACAAGCATTGCATTAACTGAAACATCCCACCATGAAACTCTCAAGTATGAGGTCAAAATACTGTTATGCCATCTGTTTATTAATCATGGTCCAAATCTGGTCTAAGGCAAGCGATCCACACTACTGGCCTTGACAAAGTTTGGGCAAGGCTTTGACCTCCCCTTTTCCCAGCTGTCGGTGCAGCTACCAGCTGTGTTTTGGTCTTCCAGGATACCAGGTTCGAGTCACAGGTGACGTCACTCTGACCATAAAACTGAAGGGCATAAATAATCAGCTTTCCAAGTGGTCTCCCGAGAGCTATTTATTTTTACCCCCTGTTCCCAGGCAGAGGTTTCAAGAGTCACAAAGCCTCCTTTCTACCTGCGAGTCCTTGGCAGGTGACTCACTACCTACTTCCAAATGTGGTGTCTACTTCTTGTGGGCTGCCAAGGACACTTCCATTTCAACTGCCTTTTGTGTGCACAGAGCTCTTTGCAATAGTCAAAACATTATCATGTTTCCTTTTGTTTGATCTTATAACAATGTCTATAAAGTAACTTAGACTCGTGGCAAAGAAACAACCTCTGCAAACATGTTTGGGAGATAATTGGCTCCCAAGATTTCTTGTCTGCCAGTTGAACTTTCTCAGAATCACTCTCAAATGACTTCCATGAATTTACATTATTCATGGAGTATTACAATAAGAAAAAATGAGGGACACAAAATTTCTGAAACAATGTAGGTAACATGTTTTCCTCCTTTCAGCCAATGGTGAGTGTGTTAGAATAGGTGTAAGAAATTGAAATGGGGAAAAATGTGGCGGGAGAAAACAGCCTAATGTCACGTAACAGGATTATATTTAAAAGGTACTCATTAAATTCCATAGTGTGCCATGAAACCTAATGTATTCTTTAACTTATCCTGTATAAGTTAAAGACTTCCTTTTAATTTGTTGTAAGGAAGTATAAGTAGTTCTTCTCAATAATTTGTATCTTATAACTGATTTCTTAGTATCTCAGGGGGAAGAAAGGTTAACCACCAAACAAAGGGTAAAAAAAAAAATGCAAGTACTGAGCATGGGAAATCATAGCAGGAGAAGATATAGGTCTTCTTGATTGTATTGAAGTGTAATCCTCAAGGGATCATCAATTAATGTGGCAAAACCCCCAGCATTAAGTTCAAGGACAAACTGCAATGAGTTACACAATGCCAGGCTCCTGATAATCCCTGCAATGGTCTCTTCTAACCTCTCCGCATCTTCTCATTTCATTTTGTTACTAAATGAGGACACAAACACCTGTTCCAGCAGCAGGTGGCATTTGTTTATTATGGCCTTACCTGCTGGGTTTTAATCAGTCTGCAGCTTTAGGAACCCGCTTAAGTAACGGTTTATAGGACCAGATTTTTAGAGTGGCATTTTCCAAGAGGCAAAGTTTCATACAACACTTTTATCATACACAAAACACCATAGAAGTGGCTTTTATTCCTTCATCCTTCTCCCCTAACATTTAGGGCTACTAATTAGTGAAGCATTTCACGCAGCATTGGAAAGCGAAGCTTTATTCTTCTGCCTTCAGGGAGACTCTGTGTTATGTGCTCTCATTACAAGATTCCTGTCTCTATAGAAGAGACCAACCACCCTCTCGCTGCTTGTACTACTTCTGTTTTGTAAGTCTCAGAAGGAGTGTTAAGGCAACTTCCATCTTAGTGGGGAAGGAAAAAAATAGAAAGAATCAATATGGAAAAAACACTACATCTAGGTGAGAATGACTCTGGGTTCTCAAACTACATAACAACTCTTTAAAAATACACAAGAATTTAAAAATGACTTAAGTACAATGGGGTAAAAAGAAAAAAGTTATAAGATGTGAATTTCCTTCTTTATGACACAGAGATTTTCTGTAAATGTTGTTCTTCCTCTAAATGTTTTTTAGAAAGCACGTGTCTTTTTTACTTTTTTTTTTAGGAGGGAGAGAGTGGACACAGTCTCCCACTATCACAAATTATGCAGAGTGTCCCGTGTTTGGAGAAATCGCAGGGATCAGTGAACCTAAAGTGCAATGGATGAGTCTTGCTGGGAGAAAACCACCTTAGTGGCCATGGTATCTCTCCTTCCAGGTAAGTATTGTTCCACTTTATTTAAAAAACATAATTTTATTTATTTATCTTTACAGGGAAAGGGAAGGAGAGAGGGAGAGAAATATCAATGAATGGTTGCCCCTTGTGCGTCCCCTGCTGGGAACTGGCCTGCAACCCAGGCATGTGCCCTGACTGGAAATAGAACCCCAATCCTCTGGTTCGCAGGCCCATACTCAATCCACTGAGCTACACCAGCCAGGGCTATTTTCTACTTCTTTTGAAATATGGATGTCATTCCCATTAATATCAGTAAACATTTATGCAACTGATGACTAAAACAATTACGATATATTAATTATTCTGAACCTCTTCAAAACAGTGACACTTTCACTCATATTATACTCAGTGCTTAACAAATATGTTACCAAAAGTAGACTCGTAAAAAAAATCTTTTTGAGAAGTGAGTGAACGAGTGTGTGATGCTGCTGTCACGGATCCACCTCCCTCCCTCTCTCTGTCTCTCTCTCTTCCCCCTCCCTCCCCCCTTCTCTGCATCCCTCTCCTTCTTCCTCCCTTAATTATGGTCTTTGCTCTGATCCCATCTTTCTATAGAGACTTTTTTTTACCTACAACAGTTATTACCTCTGTCATTATTTTACTTTATTTTTTGAATAGCATTTATTATGCCCTGACATACATTGTTCATTTGTTTGTTATCTCTCCTAGTTGATGTAAAATTTATCAGAGAAGGGCTTTAATAATTTTGTTCATCGCTTAACCTCTCCAAAGGACCTAGTGCATCAGAGTTTTTGTTAAGGGATCAATAAATACTGAATATAAATATAAATGAGTGAATATATAAGTGAATAAGTGAATATATAAGTGAATTAGTGAGTAACTAGATTTCATTATGAAATGTTTTGAGAAGCTCTTCTGTGCAAGGAGGCGAAATAGTTAAAAATTAAAATGTATGTTTTTTATTTTATTTTAGAAGAAAAATGTGTATTTGCCTTCGTTGGTGTAGCTCAGTGGATTGAGCACGGGCCTGCGAACCAGAGGATCGTGGTTTGATTCCCAGTCAGGGCACATGCCTGGGTTGCAGGCCAGTTCCCAGCAAGGAACACACAAGAGGCAACCATACATTGATATCTCTCTCCTCTCCTTCCTTTCCCCTCTAAAGATAAATAAATAAAATATTTAAAAAATGTGTATTTAAAAATGTTTATTTTTTTTGTGTTTCAAGCAGGATGGGCTAGTGGAGTAGAAGGACGAAGAAGATCTGTTTCCATGTCCGTATGTAATACCTCCCAAGCCCTGGGCCAGTTTCCAACCCACCGACAGCCCACGAGCTTTCCCTCCTCCCCTCCTCTCACCAGCATCTGTGACTGATTGTCTTTCGAATGATGGCTGTCCTAACAGGGGTGAAATAGTATTGCATTATGATTTGGATTTGGGTATCCCTAATGACTAGTGATACAGAGCATTTTTTTCACATACTTTTAACCTTTTGTATGTCTTCTTTGGAAATGTGTATTCATTTGTTAAAATTGATTCATAATCAATTTTAATTGATTCTTTGCTTTTTTGCTTGAATTGTATGAATTCCTTATATTTTTTTAGATATTAACTCTTTATCAGGTATGTGTTTTGCAAGTCCTGTTTCCTAGTCTGTAAGTCATCTTTCCACCTTGTTGTTTGTTCCAGATACTTTTTAGGTTGATGTAGTTCCATTGATTTATTTTTGATATTTTTACATGTGCTTCAGAGCCATATTCAAAGGGTCACTGTCAAGAACTATGTCAAGGAGTTTTTTCACTTTCTTTTGTCAAGTAGTTTCATGGTTTCAGATTGTACATTTGCATCTTTATTGATTTGAGTTGATTTTTGTGAGTGATGTAAGATAAAGGTTTAGTTTTTCTAATCTATTCTTTTAAAAATGATTATAAGATATCGGAAAAGTCACATGAGATATGAAAAATAACATCAGAAATATTAAAATATAAAATAAGTAATAAAAAGTAAACGTTATTTATGAAGTCATCTTAAAAAACATGAGATAATTCCCTGAAAAATAGAAAGTAATCAAGAATAAACTTTAAAAAGTAAACAAAATAAAGAAAGAGAAAATATTTGTGAGACAGTGGGACATTTTTAACACAGGTAAGGAAGGTATTACACATGGGTAATAGGAGTCCTCAAAGGAGGAAAGCAAAATGAGAGAGTGATGTACTAAGCTAATCTATCATCAAATTAAAAATAAAAACCCTTTGAGACAATATAATGAAAGGATAGGAACACACGGAAGAAAGGGCACTATGTGTGCCCAAGAATATCTACTCAGAACAAAACTAAAATTAGGATCAAGAATATATCATTTATAAATGATTAGTGTATTTAGAGAAAATACTTCTTATATCTAGGCAAAAAACAAGAATGAATATTTGATTATGCACCTATTTGCAGGGTTATTTACAACAGTCAAGAAGGGAAAGCAAGAGCATTGCCGGTGCCCGTCAACAGATGACAGGCTAAAGAGCAATAGGGCATGTTTGTGATGGAATATTATTCAGCCATGAAAAAGAATGAAATCTTACCACCTGTCACGACAGCATGGATGGACCTAGTTATGCTAAATGAAATGTCACATGGAGAAAGACAAATACCATATGATTTCACTTTCACGTAGAATCTAAAGAACAGAATAAGAACAAACAGAACTGAAACAGACTCGGAGAACAGACAGATCTTGCCATAGGGGAGGGGTTTGGAGGTCTGGGTGAAAAAGGTGAAGGGATTAAGAAGCACAAATTGGTGGTTACAAAATAGTCACAGGGATGCGGGGTGCAGTGTAGGGAACAGGGTCAGCAGTGTCACCGTGGCTGCAGCTGGTGCCAGGTCGGTACTTAAAAGGTACGGGGGTCGGGGAGGAGCTCTTTGTGAGGAGTCTGTAGTCTAGCCACTGTGCTGAACACCTGAAACAAATACAAAATAATGCTAAAGAAAATTGTAAGTGAAAAAAATTTTTAAAAGGGTAAAAAACTTCTAAGAAGAGAATATTTGATTATCCTCACACCCTCTCCGTTGTAGCTGCCGCTGAAGTATAGAAGCAGTAACACAAACACATGTTCTTGCCTGGGTTCCAATTGAACTCTCCATGCGGTCACGGGCACGGCCTAGACATGGCCGCAGACTGGCGTTGGCCACTCTCTGGTCTATACTGCGGGAATACGGTAGTTAAAAGGAATTGAGTGCTCCAGTTTTTTTCCGGTTCATTTTCCATCTCCTTACATCTCACAAATATTAATGTCACAATATTTGGGAAGGAAAAACACGGAATGTGTTCGGTGTTCTGTATTTACCATGACAGTTAAACTTCACAGCACCCTTCTGAAGCACAGATTTAAAAACAACATAGACTGAGAAAACTGCCATTCAGTGAGGTGCAATAGTTGACTAAGGCCACATACTGTCAGAGTCGGGTGTGAAAACAGATCTTTCCATTGTGATATGATTTATGTCACCACCGTATTCCTCCCGTACTTCATTTCTAGAATATTCAGAAGAATGAGTTTGATATTGGATGAGTGATTCTTCAAAATTCAATCCTCTACCCAGGATTTTCCCTAATAATGCTAAAAGGATGTCAGTGTTGAGTCTTTGAAAGAGGTACCTGGTTTATCTTCTAATCAGGTGGAAGATTATAGTTAAAAGGTTCGTGCTAATTAGTCCGGAATCTTACTTCACAGGCAGTATTGACTAGAAGATCTGAAAGGCTGGAGCTCAACTGAAGTTCAAGTCAGTCTTTTCTTGTTGAAGCATGAAACTGGAGCTCCGTAATGAGTTCTGTTTGAGATGTTAACATTCTGTCAGTATGGGCTGTTTCTGCTTTCTCTTCTGTTTTTGCCATTGTCCATTTCCCAGAGACCTAGGAAAACTAGTTTCTCTGTTCTTCTCTCATTATGTAACAGAAGGAAAAAAAAAGAGGAATCACAGTATTTTGGACTTTTGTCTTGGGGTTTTATACCCAAGTAAAAATAGCGCAAAGTATAAAACAAAAGATTCTTTATTGTTAATTACTTAAGAAAATGAACCATCACAACTTACGTTTTCAAAGCTGTAGCCATTTTTAGGCAACTCTGTTTCTTCACTGTCGGGCTATCTCCTGGGAGAACAAGGTTGTCACGCAGCTCACTACATACTTTTCTTTGTCAGAGCACAGGGAGATAGATTATTAAGGACGCGTCTGACCTGGAACCCTCTCATTTGGGCCATCTGTCTCTCTGTGCTTTCTAGAGGGAATACAATAAAAGAACTTTTTTTCCCCTTTCTCCCCTCATTTAGTGTTTTAGGAGACTGCGTGTTAAGCCCTATTCTGAGAATTTGAACAAGCAGAGACCCTGCCACTTCGAGCAATTTTTCTTTTCCTTTTGTGCCTGCCATTTCAGCTGGAGAAATCACACGCATTTTCCTCTAATGCTATTAAGGGAAAGGCTAGCTTAAGATTGCTGTTCTCAAGGCCGATTTTGTTCCACCATTATTGTTCTCTGACTTTGAGGATGTGATCTCAGGATGGATGTATACAGAAGCCTCACCTGCCAGGTAGACACTCACAGAAAATCAAGTGACATGAACTCATTCTTTAAATGGCCAATGGCACTGGTGTATAGGTGAAATATTTCCCACTGTGATAATAAAATGTAGAAAGGAAGGGAGTGAGGTAGAAGAAATTTAGCATTTCATCATAGCTAAGGTTGTTGAAAGTTCCCTTTTCTAAATTTAGCTGAGAGAGATAAAAGGATAAGTATTTGTGATTCATATTTGAAAAAGAAGCAAAAATGGTTTGACAAAATAAATATGTCTATAGGAAACCCATCAATATTTATCATATGTAAAAAATGCTTAATTCCTTCTGGTCCATATGAAGTTATCACTGATATAAGAGAAACAGAAGTATCAAACCATAAAGCTAACTTAATTGGCAACTTTTCATTTTGGAAACTCTACAGACCACTGTATCATCATGTCACAGCACAGTTACAAAGGCTTG